ATTTTTCCTCATTACAATCCGATCATATATCTCTCGATAAATTTATTTTCAATAAAATTATGAGACAACTTATATATTAATTTTTATTTTATAGAAAGAAAAAAATGTAAGTTGAGACATAATTGTATCATTACATTAATCAAAGATAATAGGATTTTTCATTTTTGTTTTGTTTATTTCGAAATAAACATTATTATCATAGCTTTCAAAAGGTTTCTCTATAAATATATCGTCAATGATTGAGAAGATCAGAATAGTTCACATGTTATAAAAATTAAACAAAATTTTAGATAAGATGATAATCATGGTTTGTTATTTCGTAAAGATAAATCTTGATATTAACTTAAAACTTTCTGTTAATGAGACGTCTTCTCAATATTTGGGACATGAGTACAAGCTGCCTCATATGTTCAAATGAAAAGAATTACTAAAGTCAGAAGATCATCTATTATCTATAGAATGACAGAGTATCAATGGTCTTGCATTAGTAATTTACAAAAAGAGTCTTAAAAATAAATTGCAATATTGAACACAAAACATTGAAGATTTTTTTTCATGAATATACAATCTTATGACTGTTGTTTATGACGATATGACTAAATAGTTGAGAAATATGTTTTAAATGAGGGATCATTGAAGCCTTATGAACATTTGACGAAATGTTTTCGGATAGGATTCATTTAGAGAAATTAATCGCATCGGTTTTCTGACTCTACCTAGCTAGCAAACATACAAACGATTAGAATAAATTCATTACTCTTGGTATGTGTGTGGGAGTACATGGGCGAGCTTTCACCCCACACTCACACCCTTGCATTTTAGATAAAGATTGTATTTAAAACGTCTTTTTTATAGAAATTATATAGGAACTTGTTATGCTATATCTTATTTTCATTCACATTGTCGAAAAAAGTCAGCACAAGTGTGACTAATGTCATATTTCTGACTATTTTCTCAGTTTTGTCATTGAAATATTCTTTGTTAAATAACTACTCATTAAAATGCTTCATTACGGAGGAGTTTTATTTTATTTCATCGAAAAAATAAACCTATAAAGCAGCAAAGCCATCGATGTAAAAAATGCCATCTGATAATGACAATGCTTTATTGTTATTGTCATCTACTTTTGCTTTCAAGAATAATGAACATTTTAAGTTTTGTAAAGCAAATTTTGTCAAGTTTCTAGACGAACACATATAAGCAAGTATAAATTAAAACAATACAGGAAGTTTCCACACACCTACTAAGGTATACTCTTATTTTATTGTCCTTGAAATCAATGACTTAACCTTTTATTCGTTTTGTATTTCGCAAACAATGACATATCTTTTATTATAAAAAGTGCATATCATCAATATGAGAAAATTGAAACATGTCATATTGTTCTTGCATGCATCATTCTTAAAAGGTCTTAAATATATTTTTTTTCTGCTTAACTCTATCGCATTTTGATTCTTCTATCATAGTGAATATTTCTCACAGTGCTTATTATCAAAAAGAACAAAGTTTTACTTTCGGATAATGTCAATGAATTATCTTGTTGTATTTTCCTTGTTTACTTGGATGTAAGTATCTACTCGGCATGTTTCTTCTTTTCTTTTCTTTATCGTATATATTTTTTCGCTTCTTTCTGCATGCATAGTCGATAGTAGTTTAATCAACAAGGAATTATCACAGTACCAGAGAGAAATAAATTGAATAAACAATTTGATTTTCACTTTTTTAAGTTAAGAATCTCTGTTCAAGAAATTTATGTCGTCAGCTGATTCGGCTGCTAAACGTGTACGTCGATTACTTGTCATCAATCCACTCAATGAAATTATTCTCTCCGACGGTGTACTGGTGGCAGATATACACAAATGTTTTTGAATAACGTTTGAAATTGTACAAAATCTGTCTTTGTTTTGATTCTACCAGATAGAAACACATGTATTTGTAGTTATTTCTGACCAGCTAAGATAGATGGTATATTCTTTTGTCGAGAACTGCTAGTGAATGAAGCGGAGGACGTAGTGAAACAGGTGCGGTCGTTATTTTCAATGTTTTTGATATTCATGCAGAAAGTGTCTGACATTTATCTTTTGATAACTGTTTTACCAATTAACGTGTAATAGTTGATTTCCATAGAGTAAGAGTTTTTACTACAATTTTCTTTGTTAGAAAATTATTTAAATCAAGAAAAAAAAGTGACCGCAAGCTCTACATATATAAGAAATTAAATTTGTACTGTTTAACAAAGAAGAAGAGATATCTTCATAGTACAGAAAACATAAGGTATTGAAGCTGGAATAACAATTGGGCATAGAGAGAAGATTGTGCATGTGAATAGAAGAAAAGAGACACGGTGAAAGTCATGACTATCTGAAAGAACCAAACATCATCATGTTTGGAAATTAAGAACTAATTTAATACCGTTTTTGTTGCGTTTTAGCATCTCCAGCGAAGTTGGATCAGGTATGCATGTTCATGCTGCAATCTTGCTCAATTCACGCAAAGCCACTAGCGGTCACAAATCAGCCAATACTATAGCTATTACTGAAATATATGATCCATCAGCGGACCAATGGACCACTACTGCAAGCATGGCAACACCACGTGAATTTCATACTGCAACTCTGCTCAATTCGGGCAAAGTTCTTGTAGCTGGTAGCGGAGGATATTCCGGTTATACGGCTACATGTGAACTATATGATCCATCAACCGGCCAATGGCATACTGCTGCAAGCATGGCAACACCACGCGGTTTTCATACTGCAACCCTACTCAATTCGGGACAAGTTCTTGTCACTGGTGGTACCACCTTTAACATAAACAGTATTATGAATAGTTGTGAAATATATGATCCATTAACTGATAAATGGAGCCCTGCTGCAAACATGGCAATACCACGTTCTAGTCATACTGCAACTCTACTAAATTCGGGCAAAGTACTTGTCACGAGTGATGCGGCTAGTTCTGAAATATATGATCCATCAATGGGACAGTGGAGCTCTCTTACTAGCATGGGACCAAAAGCGCGTTATAATCCTACTGCAACCCTGCTCAAATCGGGCAAAGTTCTTGTCACTGGTGGCGTCCAATCAGCCGTGTATTCGGCTAGTTCTGAAATATATGATCCATCAACAAATCAATGGGACACTATTGCAAGCATGGCAACAGCACGTCAATTTCATACTTCAATTCTGCTCAGTTCGGGCAAAGTTCTTGTCACTGGTGGCGTAGGAGATGCTGATTTTTTAGATAGTTGTGAAATATATGATCCATCAACGGGCAAATGGAACAATATTACTAGCATGACAGCAGAACGTTCTTCTCATACTACAACCATGCTCAAATCAGGCAAAGTTCTTGCTACTGCTGGCTACGGATATACCGGTTTCCTGGATAGTTCTGAAATATACGATCCATCAACAGGCAAATGGAACCCAAGTGCAAGCCTATCAATAACACGTGCTTCTCATACTGCAACCATGCTCAATTCAGGCAAAGTTCTTGTCACTGGTGGCGAAAAAATTGGTAGTGATATGACTATTGATCATCCAAAGAAAGAATAACCTATGGTCATTTTTTTAATAAAGCAATAGCAAAAATTGTTAGAGAGATGGATGTGCCCATATTGATATCACCTGCCAATGATCTGTCTTTCCTTTTTGCTTCTTATTCTCTTTCTATTCTTATTTCCAGTGGGTGTGAGTGTTGATGTGGTGTGTTGGTGTGGGTGTGAGTGTGGATGTGGGTGGGTGTGGATGTTATGCTCTCTTCATCCATACACTCATACCCACACCCACCCACACCCAACCCTTCTTTCTAGTTGTCATTAATTTCTTTATTAAATCTGTAAAAATAAAGGAAAAACTAATTCGCAATATCCAACGTTTCTATTAGATGGAAAGACGTTATCAATCAATTTTCTTCGAAAATATCATCTGGATGTGGAATAAGGGTGAGTTCGTGTTCATGCCCTTTTTCTTTGCATGTCGAACAAAGGTCACAGTTAGAACATATTTGACAATAAAATCTTTGTCCTATCAATGGTGTGATTTCACATCCGTCACATTTTATTGATGGTCAAACAAATTCTTCTGATTTTAGTCTAACTTTTTCACCTTTACACCAAGTCTGAATAGCTTCAATTGTTTTATTCTCAATATCTTTTCGACCTGATTTTGTCAGTAATTCACCTGTAGGTTTGACAATGATCAATGTTGGAATTCGGCTCACAGAAAAATGAGTTTTTAATAGTAGTTGTGTTATATAATTATCAAATGATAATGCTTTCCAAGGCATTCCTTCATATTGTGTATCAAAGGTTGTTTGATTATCATCAGCAGAAATGAAGATTACACCAAATGGTAGATTGAACTTCATAGCTTTTCGATAAATTTCTGTTAATTCTGCAATAAAATAAAGGCCTATGTATTTATTCTCTAACGATTTGATTGTTATACACTCATCATTATGATCTATCAATTCACTTTGAACAAACATCTGTTCAATGGAATATGTTTTCTTTGGTGACCAAAATTTGATTAGTTCATGGTGATGTGTATTTCGTTTCGAATAACATTCTTGACAAAAATCATAAGCACATTCTCGATCTGAACAACCAAAGCGAGAGTCAATCAATGGTTTCATATATCACGCATTACAACTGATATCTGCCCAAACATGATCATCGCTGTTTTGTGGTTCTTGTGTCCAAAATATTGTTTCGCCTTTCATCCATTCTTCTATCGTATTCGTTGATTCAAACTCTTCATCACCATTTAATGTTAATATTTCACTGTCAGGTTTAAGGATAATTAACGTTGGAATATCTTGAATTTGGTAACGGTTATTGAGGTATTTTGCTCGCTCACGATCTATATGATATAATAAAGAAAAGATTACTTAACCACATCAAAAGACCGAAGAGAACTATCTTTTTTATTTATTATAAAGTCAGATATTTGCTCTGAAAAGGAATTGCTTTCCATGTCATATCTTGATAATATTCATCGAATGATTCTTGATCATTATCAGCTGAAATAAATATTATATCAAATAACAAATTGTTATTTTTAGTTAACGAATCATTGTATACTTGAGCCTATTTTGATGTCAAATTTCGACATTGATTACACCATTGGGCACTAGAAAAAGCAAACTCTTATATTTTCATAACGAATTTACAAAATCAAATAGGTCATACTCACGAGAAATAGAGACCAATAGTTTTCTGCTTCAATTCATCGGTATCGATTTTAATTGATTTTCCACCTTTCAACAATCTTTCATCTATAAATGTGGTTATTGATGTCAATTTTCTATTTTCAATCTACATAATATATATTGCTTAATAGTAAACAAATCTTTGTTGCTTTTTCTTGTCCAACATTTGCCACATGATGATTTACAAGGCGAGCAAACAAAACCGTCAATGAACCAGGAATTTTATTACAAAGATGTGCAAATACAATAAAAGAAAAATAAAGATTGTATATTTGTGTTGACTTTAGCTTTTGTTATTAAACGAAGCAGTCACATTAAAAATAATCTCTATTTTGCATGAAATTAGTGTCCTCTATGATAAGAATGGGGTGTGGGTGTGGGTGGGGTGTGGGGTGGGTGTGGGTGTGGGTGCGGTGTGGGTGTGGGGTGTGGGTGTGGGTGTGGGTGTGGGTGTGGGTGTGGGTGTGGGTGTGGTTGTGGGTGTGGATGGGTGTGGGTGTGTGGGGTGTGGGCGTTGTTGAGAAGGCCTCTTTGACACCCACATCCACACCCACACCCACATCCACATCCACACCCACATCCACACCCACACCCACACCCACACCCACACCCACACCCACATCCACACCCACACCCACATCCACACCCACACCCACACCCACACCCACACCCACATCCACACCCACATCCACACCCACACCCACATCCACACACCAACACCCACACCCACACACCCACACCCACACCCACACCCTGTAACCAATAAGTTAATAATAGCGCTTTTTGTTTTTTTCAAGATCTTGTGCGAAGATAATAGGGAATGATATAGTCTCCATGATCTTAACAAGATCTTAAGCACAGACTTATCTGGCACATCCAAGGTATACACAAACAAACTGTCTTTTTAGAATCTTCTCAAGATCTTGCTTACAAGATATTCGACTAGGATTTTCTTTACGTTGAATATTAAAATATGTACAGCTATACTCTTGTCAGCATGCAAAAGAAAAAGGAATGATAGTTTGTTCATCATATATTAGGGTAGATGCAGATGTGGGTATAGACAATTCAAAGATTCACACCCACACACTTTCAGCAGTACCGCTTATCTCTACTCAATTTTATTTTCACAAGATTGAATTGATAAGAAACTTGTTGGAATTTTCTACTGTTTGCAAGTCGTATCTTTATATTCAACCTTTGCATAACTGAGATATGTAACACATTACTCAGAGTTACTTTCCCTTGTATTTTTCCACTATGACACAGTAGTGTGCTTTTATGTAAAAAGAACAGCACGTGCATAGATAAGTAGACAGATTTCTATTGTAGATAATACTATTCTATTAACCTACGACATTTAACAAAAAAATTTATCGATTAAGCACTTCCTTCTGAATTTCACCTATGGTTGTGAATATATGAGATGTAAGTGAATCAACCACGTATCAACAATGGGATCAAATACTTCTAAGCTGAAAAACCAAGAGGTAGGTCATACGTAATAGGAAGTATCGTCAATAACAAAGATTTCTTATAAATAAAGTCATTAGCACAAACCTCAGCAGTTCGAATTTTCTTGTTTATTAATTCATATCGAGGGTTCTTCCTATGATTTATGATGAAGCTAATCGAATCTTAATTTTTTTTTCGGAAAACACAAATGGAAATTAATGTTGAAGTATTAGAGTGAGAAAAGTGGATTTCTCACTTACAGTAGTGGCGTAACTAGAACAGTGGCGCCCCGCTGGCGGTGGTAGGGCAGTGGAAGGTGGCGCCACTATTATTTTGCTTATAACTTTTTAACTAAATGATACGAAGACTGGAGAGTTTCCCCAGATATAGTACATGTTAGGGCGAAATTACGATAGCAATTCCAGATCTTCATAACACTCTGCTACAAATTTATAAGCAAAAAAAGAGTGACGCCACCTTCCACTGCCCTACCACCGTCAGCGGGGCGCCACTGTTCTAGTTACGCCGCTAACTTACAGATAGACGTGATGTTTTCGACCATGATATTGCTGAAAAAATTCCATTAATTAGGTTAATTATCTCTATTTTATAAAACATAATTACAAAGAAATCTTGAATTTTAAGTATGAAAAAGAGGGGGGCTCATAAGACCACAAATCGGCTCATCGAACTTTTTTCCAGGGACCACTTTGGAAACTATATAGATCAATAGATCTCAGCAAGATAAACATTTTGGT